AATTATCCGCCCCCTCCCCCGCCTCCCCCTCCCCCCAAAGCTCTGGTAGTGGAAATATCAATCAACATAGTTGGTAGGGGGGGGGCGCCTACTACTACTACTACTACTATGATGACTACGAGGACGATGACCTGCTGCTGCTGATGCTGCTACACTCTATACATCCCACTACTAATATTGAATTACTACGATGAGGAAGGCCAGGCCCACGAAATCGAATTTATGGCCGTGCTCATGGTCCTGTTGGCCGCCCGGATCCAGAGATGGCAGAGAGCCGTAAGGACGGCACCCTTCGGGTGGAGCCGACCTGAAAGGCAGAACCTGCAATTCCATGTTTTCAGCGATTGGCCGGGCCTGGGATGGAAGTGACATCCGGTTCGGCGTGACAGGACCCATACTTGCACGGTTGGCATCTCCTGGTGAGGCATGAGAGACGCTAGCTCGCTTGTCTATCTTTGCAGCTAACTCACAACAACTGTCCTTCAGGAGCATCTTTCGGCGGGAGTGACTGCTGGCTGAGAACCATATATGCGTCCTGCATACAAATACAACAGCTGTTGAGAGTACAGCTGTGCAGTTCCTGCCTGCGTGTGTCGAGAAGCTGGTGTCAGGGCTGTCCGCTGGCTCCTGGAGATCCCACTCTAAGCTCTGATGAAATCAGGCCTGGATGCTTGGAGGCTGAAGTGGGAGCTGGTCCTTGGCCAGGGTGAGGAATCCTGCAACCACACATGCTGCAAGTCGTGTTCTATGCATTCAGGTTGCACGAAACTCACGGGCTCAAGTCTCGTGCCTGAGTGTACTCTGATGGTGCGAAAGTTCGGCAGTCCGCGCTGAAACTGAACAATGCAGCAAAACCTCGGCTGCGCACGGGTCTGGTTGCAAGTCTCTGCTCCAAACAACATAAATGCAGCTCAGATACATGCAATAAGGATGACAGTCATGATCAAAAATGGTGCAACCTTGACATGCGCAGGCAACAGGCGCTCTGGCGTGAAGGTTGCCTCTGAGCTGCCAACAAAAACAAAGGTTGCAGAAGGCCGAACCATCTGCCGTGCGGTGCCGCGTGCTGCTGCCAGCACCTGAACAAGCTTCGAGCCAGGTCCTCCAGAAGCATTCCAAGAACCTGCGTGCCTGCATTTGCCCGCTAAGCACTCTCGGGTCCCTGTCCTTCAGAATCCAAAACGATGGAGCTGTGGACGCCCGGAAGCTCTGCCGTTGGTGTTAACGTCACATTCGACGACTTCTTGGAGCTGCCTTCGGCATGTGCTCGGCTGCGTCGCGTGTGGATTTCATGCAACTTGGCCTTTATCACGTTGCTGGAAGCTGCTGTGGTTCACTTCCTCATCAGTTGGCTGTGCGGCTTGCATGCTTCTCGCGTCTGTTGCTGTTCAGGTCCTTCATTCGCTGCGGCTGTGGTTTGACCTTCGCAAACAAAATAACAAAGCAAAGTATGCAAATTGAATTGCTGAAGACTCTGAGCTTCAAGCGCTCTGCACCAGCACTGTGGCATCACTTTCCAAAAGACCCATGCTTGCATGGGAGTTGTTACAATGCCTTCAGGGCCGGCGTTCTAACCATGTACGCATGTTCAGCTGGGAATCCACTTGCCTTGATGTTTCCAAGGCAGGAGACGTTGCTGTACATTGACTCTGCAGGAGAATGACCAGCGCTATGCCCGCGGCATACCTGGCTCAACGCGGTATGAGAAGCCCGGGCTGTGCAGCACCATTGGCCTTGAGAGGTGCCGCGTCAATGACCCCATTGCATGGCTTGTTCGGAGCGACGCGAAGCGATTTAACAGAGAAGGGGCTCGGTAGCGGATGACAGCTTGCAGCCAAAAGGGCAGCAGTGGGTGGAGTCAAAATGCACATTCCTGTCTGGCAAAACCTCAATGTCCGAAAATTCCGGAACTGATTCCTTGACGCAGTAGCCGTGCCGAGTCGGCGAATCAAACTCCAACGGCGACGTGTCTGTGTCTGAGCATGTCACCTCAAATCATCCCGGGATTAAATGAAGCTGCCGTAGCTCTTGAACACATCTGCATGGGCGCAGGCGGAACCCTCCATGGTGTTCATGGCCTGCGTTGCCAAGATACACGATGATGTGCAAGCTTGGATGTCTTGAGTTGGTTCTTCAACTTTGTCATCAAGCGAGATGACGTGAGCACGCATCTATCTTGTTTGTGCCGGTAGTGTGCTCGTATAGGTGAATAGCGCGGAAAGTGCTCAGCAAGGACCTCTTCGGCCAACCAGGGATGCAGCAAGCAGCCTTGGTGTGCATTCAGGCTGCAAAGGATTTCACTGTTGGCCTGGCATGCAGCACCACAGCGCCCCCAGCAACATAAGCTAGAGGCCACTTTGGTCCAGCCTATCACCAGGGTCAACACGCAGTAGCCCTTGCCTGCAACGCTGCCCAATCAAGGCACGGGTGACGTCGCTGTGAGACTGCACGTACAACTAGACCTGAGGTTGGCACACAAAGTCCTTTGCATGCTCGGAGACAATTCGCCAAACCTCATCTGCAGATTTTTTGTTCATCAGTTTCCAGGTGTAGGGCTCCAAGTGTACGGTGTGAGAACTTTAGGCCAAGGGGCCCCTTGGAAGGACAGATGTTGCCCGGCCAGGCGTTTGATGTCTGCAACACCTGGTGGAAACTTGCTCTTGGGCAGCAATCTAGCTTGCACTTCCCGCCTTCAATTTCAAATGGAAGACGACCAGATAGCCTGCGCGTCTCTCAACTTCTTGGAACATCGCAGCAGTCGTGAAACACAAGCCAGCTGCGCATGACGTATAGAAGGACACCAAAGCTCCAGAAATCGATCCGCCTGCCAACTTGAAGTAAGGCCTTTGCATCTTGAGTTTGGACCCAAACGTGTCGGAATGGCTCGTCGTATTGACCTGTCACGACCTGCCACAGAATGAGACTCCATGTTTTCAATGCCGTTTAAGTACCGGTGCTGGTGGCAAACGATAACATTACTTTTCTCCTTCATGATGTAGACTGCGCAAACATGGACTACAACTCAGGAAAGCCCAAGGATCACCATTTCTGTGCCTTACCGAAAGGACAACACCGCTGAACAAATTTATAAGTGAGGTGAATGAGCACCCTGAAAGTCCCTGGAAGGCATCTGCGCACTCTTGCACAAGAAAGGTGTTGCGCAGCGAACCTCCGGAGCCAAGTAGTCCAGCGTCCCACAGGCAGTCATGCCTTGACGCAAGTGCTGCAAAATATCAACACTATCAGTATCTAAAGCAACTGCAGACAACATGCAGAGGAGCAGCATCTTGAGCAAGATGCAAGAAAACCTCTGCGCACTGCGTGCAGGCGCCTGCTTCTTGTTCTCCGACTCGTCTCAGGCATTTGGACAGGCCGAAATCTGCTATCTTCACATCATGCCTGAGCGAGATTCTTGAAGGTGTCTTGAATATGGCATGGTCTCTCAGAGTAACCTCATGGATGCGGGGTTGAGGGAGGCCGGTCTGGGAAAGCAACACGCAAAGAGCAGAGCCAAAGACAGCTAAACAAAGGCAGTTCGAGGAAGGCTTGTTTTCGGCACGCCTGAAGTGGGGACCAGCAGTTCCCATCCAATGCAGCTCATGCAGCTGCAGGTTGACTTAGCCACTGTGCATGGCCACATGCTGTACGGACAAGAACCTTCTGGCTCACCAGGCATCACCTCAAGATGCCTGAAGCTGCATGAAATCCACTGCATGCGTGTCCAGCACTTGAAGCCAGCTGGCATACCTAAATGCAGGCTACTGGCTCGCGGGAAAAGCTGGACTGCTCAGTGAAACTAAAACTTGAATGTAGCTGCAACTGATACCTGTGAGCAGATGGCAGCCAAAATCTCAGGCAAGTCTTGCACAAGACGGCAGCCCAGGCCCAGCAAGGTCTCCACTGGCTTGGGAGGCGCTGCGAGCCAACGTTGGTTGTACACTTCTTTCAAGGCCCCTGGGCCATGCAATCATTCCGCACGAAAGCAGGCTGATCAACCTTGAGTGCTGGCTATCCACAGAATCCAAAGGGCTCTTTCTCGGCTGCTTGTCCTGGGCTGTGCCAAACAAACCTCCGTGCCATGTCTGCTGCTTTTGCAGATTTCCACTTCGTGCGCGGAGGCATGATACATTTGATGCATCATCCAGACCATCCCGGGATATCGCGCGGCTGGAAGCCCGCAGCAATGTTGGGCCAGCACTCCAATCAATCCACAACTTCTGGAACCAAGTGTATGTCAAGAAGAAACCAAAAAAGTAGGACAGGCCTCCAGCGCCGAGAATGCCAATGTTTTTCAGCCGCTCTCCCATTCGGATGCGGTCAGGATCCATCTGTGCTGCAGAGAATGACATCTGACCTCCAGGCACACATTCACCACCCAAAATCTACACTGCACAGGAATTTTGAGACCATATCAGACCATTCTGGCATGTCTTCAAGCTTGCAGGGCCTTCGCTTGCCCTGGCGGATTTGATGTATGGTCTTCATTTGTTGTCTGGGCTAACGGTCAACTGTTTTCCAGTAACAACCGATAACAACTATGACGCGTAACAGCCGTACATCACTTCGATGGAAAGACAGATGCATCTTTACTATCTACAATACGCTTTGCACGCCTGCGCGAATTGCCTCTACGCAAGCAGGTACAGTAGGTAGGCCCTGAGTTCCACAGCGGAGCGGTTCGTCATGGTGTGTTTCTGCCTATGATGGCTTTCGGGCCGCTGTGGACTTGTCTGGTGTGTGGAACTACTGCTCAACTTGGGCATAAACGAACATCGGGCCATGAACGTAAATGGAGGGAACAGGTCTAGCTTGTAAAAGGATCTGGAGGCAAACAGGAATGTGGGCTGTCAATGCCATCACAACCCAACCTGGAAGCGCATCGCCCAAGTGTGGAAGGTGATGCAACTCATCAAAAGTGCTCCGGCAAAGCATGGGGCCGAGTTTGTTTTGGGAGCGCTCAAACATGGCGCCAATATTCATCCCGCACTTCTTGTCAAAAGGAGCTGTTGTTCCGAAGTGCTGCAGCCCAAGGCTGATATCAACGCCAACATTGAACTTTAGCTCCATGTAGATCGGAATTTCACCGCTGCCGAGAAATTGTTGAGCCAAGGCTCCAGAGGAGTCTTTGGAGATGCGGCTGTCCATGAAAACCTTGATGGTTCCTTGTCCCTCTGCTGGAAGTGTAGACCCTTCCAGAAGCGTTAGCACACCCACATGAGTACCTTCAGGGACAGAGACATGATGAAGCAAAAGTGAGATATGTTGAGTAGCTTCGTGATGCCGCGAGCGTAGCTAGTGCCCCCTTGCCTCGATCTTTGCCGACAAAGACGTGTCCAGGGGTGTCATGCAGAATCTTGACTGCATACGGGTTGGGGTTCGAGCACGTTACATGTATTTCCACGGCGACATGAATCGATTCCCCAACTTCAAACTTCCTCAGAAGAGCCGTTTGATCACCGCAGGATGTAGCGGTATAGACAGGCGTCAGTTTGATGAATAGATAGGTGTTGAACAGCCCGTACAGCAGCAGAAGCGCCCCTATGCAGTGCTTCCATCCAGGCTCATTATGCTGCAGGGGCATCATCTTTGTCTAACCGATAGACGCTTGAGATAAGGTGGACGGTCTCATGACTACAAGGGGCCGAGGGGTTAGAGCATGCTAACATCCATGCTTGCGTCTGAGTCTTGCACATCTCGTAGGCGGGCTCCGATCTGCGGACAGAGCCTCAACTGATTTGTGGATTCTCAGGTGATGCTAGCTGCAATCAATGGATGGTACTAAGGTCTGCGCGCACGATCAAGACATTCTCCTTTCAGTGCATGAGAGTTTGATACGCTTTGGTTCGATTTTGTGTAGCTGGCACTCGAAGCTTGGGTGCTGGCAGGCTTCAGGTCTCGATGAATGACCTGTTCACTGCAGCTGTGAAGCTTCATGTGTAGGAGCCTAGAATTTTACGATGACACCATGAGGAACCTTGTGAGAGTGCATGTAGGCGATGCCGCCGAGCAGCTGCAAGGATATGTGCCTGCAGGAAGGTGCACAGAGAGAAGAGCCGAACAGAGTCGTCAAGCTGGGCTTGCTGTGTGGCGTCTTTTTGCAATCCTGCCTGGAGGCGTGCTCAGACCCAATGCCGGCTCCAGGCTCTAACTTGCTATGCAGGTCACCGCCTTGGAAAGGCTTTCGCTGTTCACATTTTTGTCTAGTCATCTATCTCCGGCCTTGTGCCAGTCCTGTTCTATTCTTGCGCCGCAACAGCATCGCAATTGTCCCTGATCTGCGCGGCCAAGCTACCGCGGGCCAAGTCCATGACGATGTAGCAGAGATTTCCTTCCCAGAAAGCCTGCGCCGACGTAGACTTGCCTGTGACTGCACATTTGCAGCACTCTTGCTTTCCACCTCCTTCAAGTTGACTATTCGAGGATGGTGCAGCCTCTCAAGAGACTTGCGTTACTGTGTAGCCAGCGTCTTTGTAAACGCAACACACGAAACATCCCGAGACTAGAACTCCCGCATGACGGTGATTTCTCGCCTGCAGCAGAGGGCCGGCAAAACATCATCCCTTGACAGCCCGAATCCCGCTTAGTGCCTCAAGCTCGCCACGGTGCGCTCTCTTAGCTCAATGGCTTTTGTATTCACTACCTGCCAACGCTGCGGACTGGATGCAATTTTGCAGAGATACATCTCACTTCTGTGAGCACAGGCTGATGCAAGCCTTCACAGCGTACTCATTGCCTGTCCCAAGGCGCTTGCACATGTACACCCGGCCTGAACAGGATTTTCATCGCCAGAAGAGACATGACAAGAGAGGCAGGGGCCTTGAGAGCCTCCTCCCAACTCTGTCCCCAGCTCGAAGCTGTCGTCATGTAGGCCAAACCTGGCAAACGACACGGAACTAGAGATGGGCACAAGAAAAACAGCAATTGCAGTGGCAACGTGCAGCAGGCCTTGTGCCCTCCGCTGGAAAGGCACTTCGGGGTGGGACCATGACTTGGACACTAGGGCTTGACCAATGTTTTTGGTTGGACAGGCTTGGCATGGATCCACGGCAGACGCTTGCAAACACCGACCGTGTGTGCTTCATAGCAGCTTTATCTTCCGAATTGCATGCAGCGCTGTGTCGTAGGCGATCACGAAAAGCTGTGCAACACACGCAGGCATACCAAGGCTCGCAAGCCAAACGATTGAGCAGTTGGTTTTTTTGCTGCGCTGTCGAGGTTCTGGCTCACCTTGTGCACATGCCGAAGGTGAGACAGGATGTGCAAGCTTTTAGCACATTGAAAACGCAGCAGCAGCCTGCAATGCATGAATGTGAAACTGCGGGCGCATGACTTACCAAATAAATCAAGGCTGAGCACGTTGTCAGTACTGAGATAGAATATGCCTGCAAAACAACTCTCTTACGGGTAGGCAGTCCTTGCACCACTCTATGCACATTGCGCCGCTTTGCGCAGCACTCCTCCTGGGATGGCACTCAGGCCCGTCGTCCCTTGATTCCGGGTGTGGCATGGCGGGACCTCAAAAGGCAGGTCACAAGAGATGTTGGTAGGCTGCCAGCTGCATGAGATTAGCACGCTCCCGCAACAACAGGCTCGCCCCACTGCCGCTGAGGCAACCCCACTTGCCTCTCGCATGCTGGAAGAGGCACTTGGTCACACTTTGCATGTGGATGATGCGAATGCAAATAGAATCTGTCCCAAATTCCTTGTTTGAAGACATGCAATTTTTTGCCGTGCTTTCCTGACCATCCCGCCCCTTTGGCAGCCTATCGCAAGCAGCCTTTCGCGCAGAAACTATGCGCAGTGTTCGGACTTAGAGCCAGGAAGCTTCCGAGCAAAGCGGCTGCATGCACTGCACTTTGACTCGTACGTGTTCTAGATCATCTTGACCCAAAAGCTAGAGTACTTTGAGTGTCCTTGCCGGCCACCACATGTAAGAAGTGTCATGAATCTTACACACGGGTTTTCAGAAAGCCCGTAGTAGTGACTTGTGATTGCTGTCCCTGCCTGGAAGGAGAAGGGTCTCGCACGTGGCCGCCCTCCATACCTTCATGATGCAACTCATGCCAATTCTATGCAAGTCTGCTGTTTGGCTAGGCCCGAGCGCTGTCTAGAGCGAGTTTGCAAGAACTGGGCTGCAGGCACACACTTGCACCGACACCTTTCAGTGCCTCGTGGGAATCACTGAGCAATCATGTGAGCACAACAGATAAGGAAGGTCTTCCCGAATCTGAGAGACAGACAGGATTCTGCTGCCAATGTCGAGAGGACAAACCTGACAACGTTGCGCATCTGACGTCAGCTCCAGCAGCGCTTTAACAGTGCCGGTCTTATCCGCTCTTCATTTGGCTGCTGCCTCCCTCGTCATTGCTTTCAGCATGCTCCCTTCTTGCCTTTGCCGCAGGGGCTTTTGAGTTTGCCTTTAGATGCGCTGCCGGGCTTGCCAACGCTGCCTCGCTCTGGATGCTCGGCGACTTCTTCATCTGTTGAGGTCGGACTTTGTTGATACAGATCCGCTCAGAACTCAGCAAGCGCCTCCATGCTCGGTCCACCAGCCTGCATGCCAGCTGCTCAGGCAAGCACGGCGCCATCTTTTCTACAAGTGCTGGGCCTCAGCTGGAGCAGCCCGCGCTCCTTTTGCCTGCTCCTGGCATTTTCTTGGGTTTCCTTCGAAGCTCAACTCCACAAAACAGGGCTGCTTGCTGAAAATCTGCAGTCACTCAGCGCGCAATGAACGGATTCAATGCATGGCTTCCTCCCGGAGCATTCTCCGTATTTCGAATTGTATGAGAGGTCGTTGTAGGATCTCCTGCGTCGACCCTCATCGGAACTGCTGATTTCTTCCCTTGGACCCGGCATGATGGGTTGAACCCTAATTATCTTTTTGCGGGGTTGACAGTCTTAACGATACTTGATGATGCTGTGCTGGGTCAGGTGGTTGACCTCGTCTCCGTGCAAAATCCCGAAAAAAAGAAGTCGTGCCCGTTCAGGAAACTATTCCACATACACAAATAGTCCTGAAGCTATCGACTCTGGCAAAGTTCAAACAGCTTTCTTTCACTTTAGATTCTTAAGCCTCCTAAGTCAACATGTTGCCATTCTGTAGTTTCCTCCCCACCAGTCGAATGCCTTCTTTTGCTGAAGGTTTTTTGACCATCGGGATTTCTGACTGGTTGTGAAGACATGGTTGAGCATTCCAGTTGGTGTGACGATCCAAGACCGAAACCTTGTCTTGCAGGATTCTGGAATGTGAGAGAGGCTTTGATGTACTTACCGGCCTGCATCAAGAGATTAGGACTCACAGCATCAAAGGGTCCGAGGGGCAGAGCATGGAAGTGCAGGATCTTCAAGGAGATATCCTGTTGCTTGTTAGTTGAGTGAGGATCCACCGCGGCCGGCATGATTCTGCCATGAAAGCCCCCTCCTGGCACAATGCAGTCCTGCGCGCTCGGCCTCTGGGTCTGCTCACGATGAAGTAAATCGCCGCCTCGAACACAGCTCACCCCAGAAACCAGACCGTGCAAACATTGTTTGAGAAGCCCAGGAAGCAACTTGTACGCAATGCCATGCAATACTCTGGTCTGTTGTGATTCTTTTGTGAACTTGATTGCAACTGAGGCTGTCGATCGCTCGTTCTTGGCCTATTTGCACCTTGCAAATACATTTGTTCGTTTAAGGCTTTGAAGACTCATACTGGAATTTCGTGACCTCTGTGCCTTACCGCACGCCATCTTCCTTTTTGAAAGTCTAAGTTCGGCATGACAATGAGGAGGGATTGACACTTGACGGCTCTCAAAGAGGTGCTCTAACAGCAGGAGCCAGGGTTGTGGGTCGCACCCTCCATTGGGTTCCAAGTGTTCAGCAACATGTCTGCCCAAGGTTTGAAGGAAACAAGCTCGCCTTGAACATTGCGCAGTCTGCCTGGGTTCGCGTCCCACACTTTGCAAGGAGACTTAATGGAGGTTCCCTCTTCAAGCCATTTGGAGGGATAGTTTTTGGCTGACTGCCAAACTTGATTTCGTAATATTTTTCTCAGCATCTTAAGACCATGTTCTCGGCCCGCGAGTCATAGACATAGAAGATGCAATATTTCGAACTTGATGCAGGCCTGGTTTGGTTTGACAGCCGCCACTAGCACTGTACATGAACTGCTGCCATGGTCGAACAAGCCTTGCCCAAACGGCATTCACATCTAAAAGAGGAGTGCAGGAATATCCCGAAGACACGCCGGACCACGATCAGGATTTCGCACAACAGACCCATCGCTTTGCCCGTGTTCTTCCACGGACAAAACACGGAAGTTGAATGTTACAGGACCTCGTTTTGCCGATGCGTGACTCGGATATGGAATCCTGTTAATCGGATGTACTGGCAGATGGACATTATTGTGGCCTGCCGTGGGCGCTAAGGGCTCACTAAGGGATGGGCATGGATAGCACGACAACCAATGCTCGGGCCTGAGAGTGTTTGACTTAACTGAACATTTCCTTCAGTTTTCGGCTAGGGGCTCGGAGCAGACAAAGCACTGGCGGAAGTGGAGACACGCCACTAGGCCGCTGTTCGAGCTCGCACGGTGCGTGACTGCATACCACCGCTCTTCTTGCAATGCCGCCTGTTCATGTACGCATACGGGACTACAGGATCGGGCTTGCATGCACATCCTGACGGTGACAAAGCTGAGTGGCGAGCAAAGCTGTCTCAGATCGTGCGAGTATGAATTCGGCAGGACCGGTGTTGGTCCTCGCCTTCGGCAGGATTCGCTGGTTGCACGAGACAAAGAGCCCAAAATCGGATCCCGTAAAACATGAGGCCCTGACGTAATTTTCTGAACAAGCGACTGAAGGCTCGTTGCCTGAAGCCAAATTGGGACAACGAGCGCCCTGTAGCTGAGCACACGGACGTCAAGGGGCACACATCGAAAGGTACCCGGAGACAAGCGAGCTCGTAGAGTACGCATCCCAAAGCCTGGATAGCTGCTTTGCAGTGTCCCAGCTTCCTCGGCCAAGGGCTCTGGCCCAGATGTCGCTGCTGAATGTATAGGGCTTCTCCAAGCCTGTACCCAGAAAGCTCACCAGGGCTGTGTCAACTTTCAGACATCCTGAGAAGTTGGCAAATCTCAGGACTCAAATAGTACGGAGTGCCAATCGTGGTCTTTGCGAAGGCACATGTGCTTTCCAAGACCTTCATGCGGAACAGAGCAGCCCGCGATTGCCACATGCAACGACGTCGATCGAAGTCAGCTAGGGCGATTGCTCTGGAGATTCCAAAGTCGCCTATTCGCAGGCGGTCCTGGCAAAGAAGTGAAGGGACCTTCTCTATAGTATGCACACCTCCTCATGTACCAACGCTAGTTACAGGTCTTGTCTACATGCAGCCTACATCTGCAATGAACCAAGTTTGCCATCCGTTGCCGCCTGAGCCGTCAAGAAGAGGTTCTGGCTCTTTAAGTCCCTGTGCAAGACATGCTTGTCCTGACACTTCAAGGCGCTTCGCAGCCAGGATTGCCAGATGGGAGAAGCATATAAAGCACCAGAGAAAAACATTGTAGCGACACAGGGTCATGCAAGTACTTGAGAGCCAGCGCTGCTTCTGTGAGCCACCTGCCAGGCAAGACTTGCAAGACAAATACACAAAGTGTGAAACGACATGAGCACTTCGATCGCATGCGTGAAATGTACATGTTCGGTTCTGCCTGACAATCCTTTCCTCGGAGAAGACCTTTCCGGCTTGGCGCGTGCGCTGGATTCGCTGATGAAGGTCCCCACCATCTGCATAGTCCATGACCTGAGAGGGAGTCAGACATGTGGGGTCCCAAGTGGTATCTGCGAATTCCGTGGCGAGTGAATTGCACAGGGCGCTGCTATGGCCAAGTTTCGGCCTTCGGACATGTAGCTTTCCCTATATGACCTGACAGCAACAACATCCACCAACGCAGGGGCTGGATGCAATCCTTCCACAATCACTTCGGCGCGAACACAATGTAGGGGTGCTTCAGGGACGAGAGCACCCGTACTTCGTTTATTGCATCCTGGAAGAAGAACCCTTCAAGAAGCTGCGCACTAAAGGTGGGGAGTCGTGTGGCCGGGGGATGCGGACTTCTGACCTCTTCTTTTCAGCACAAGCACACAAACTTCCAGTCCAGTCCTTTCTTTGCTTGGGATCCATTCGGCTCATGTCGATGATCTTCATCACATAGAGCTTGCTCTCTTTATCCTTTAACAGACATCCCACAGCGATACTCCAGGCTTCGCAATGCCTGTCCTGTACAAGAACGGCTTTGCCATAGCTGCCTTCGGAACGGGTAAGTCATTCATCAGGAATTGCTCAACTTTTGCGTGAACTGCCTGATCCAATATCCTTGACTTTCGTGTAACCTCTAGAAGAGGACGTAGACTCGGAGCTCATGGCACCTGAGCTGGCTCGTGCCCCGAAAAGAAATAGTGAGAACTTTGGAGAACTCAACATAATAAGGTGCCGGCATGAATTACTTCAAAGCAGTAACAGCAACGACTGTGACTATGAAGCCCTCATTGAGGAAGCACGGCTGGTATTGAAATCCTGTACTGTGCTGTACTGGATGGTTTGTCCCTAGTTGCACCTTCTGAAGCTGCCGGATGTGATCGATTCTGGCTGCATTTAAATTCGCCAGGTCCGCTAGAACATGCCCAAGATGGTCGTTGTTCTGCGTGTGCATGATGGTGGCGAATGGCTTTGAGCCAGGTCGCATGCAGGACTCTGCGAGGTGCCACAGTCATGATGTATGTACGCAGCATTCAAAACCAAAAACAAGCAACACCATCTCTGATGACAGCGAGTTCTTCGCGACTCCCTGTTAGAAGGGCAGCGCTAGGAGGCCGTCGCAGTGGCGCCTGGCTAGGAAAACAAACTGCAGGCTGCAACAAAGATTAGCTTTGTGGTGGAGCTCCTTGTGCGGCTGCTGTTCCCTGCCAGGTAGGTGAAGGCTGCAAAGAATGCTCCACTCAAGCAGCCCCTGGCCGTCAGCCAGCTCGGCAGGAAGCTTGGCAACCAGCTCTCTGAGGATGGTGCCTGCAGTTCAGGACCACTTCTCATCAGATTCATCAGCACCGGCGACAGTGCTGGGCAGGAAAGCTGTAGGCGTGGATAGTGAGGATGGGCAACAGAGCATCCGTGTGAAGCAATGTGCTTTATTTATTCAAAGCAATGAAGGAACGCTTAGTGACTTCGTGGCTCTCAGGCAGCCAGAGCTGCAGCTTGTGCCTGCCTAGCGGCGAGAGCACCGCACAACTTACAGAAGCCATGAGCCCATGAGCCGCAGCAAAAAAATGCTTGTGACTGTGACAGTCATGGCGTCTCTGCTCACAACACTAGGTTCTTCAAATGTTAACTAGAAAGCAATTCAGACTGTAAACCCATGCAGGAAGGCACTGTAGCTGGTACTCCCGTAGGCTGTTTCGATGTGAGAGAGACATGCACACTAGGCCAGGCAAGGAATATGAGTTCGCCATCACTCATGTTGGCCTCTTCACCCCATGTTGACCTGGCTCGCCTTGACCACGAAACTGGCGGGACTAAATGGAGAACGTGCGCGTACCACGCTTTGACCCGGGCATTTTTACATCTTGACACCACTTGTTTTTAGCACGGCAGGGTTGAATCCCACCTACGACAACAAAGTTGTGCAGCAGTGCAGCACCCAAGCCAATGGTGGAAGCTCAAAAAAAAAGGTTCGTCTCACGAGCTTATGGGCGCCTTTCCCTGAGATGCGTTGGGGCTGGCCAAGCTAACACCGCTCCAGACATTCTCGGATTGTATCTGCTAGGCCAGCCATCCTTTTGATGGATGGATGGCGTGACCAGCAGCCAGGCCTCGAAGCTGCAGGACTGTGGGTCGGCAGCTTTAGAACTTGAGGCTTTATTTAGGTCTGAGGCGGGGGCGCAGAGCCCTTTTCGAGGAGTGTGCATAATCTCCCCAAAGATAGCCCTCTCAGCCGGTTGCCTGGCTGCACCTGCCTGCGTGGCCCCTTCCTGACCTCGAGAGGGTTGGAATTGTCCTTGCGCGTTGCAAATTGAAGGCTCAAGTGCTTATGCCTGCCAGTTTTGAGGGCTTTCTCAAAAGTAGGCCGGAGTTGTGGAAAGTCAGGCAAAGAAATGAATGACTACTTTCATGGTATAACTTGTGAATGGCCCGTGAGTTCATTTCTTGGCAAATGTTTCGGCCATCAGCCACCAGAGCGGGACACCATCGACCTGGAGAATGAACCACCTCCGCCACCAGGTAGGCTATTCACAAGTTATACCATGAAAGTAGTCATTCATTTCTTTGCCTGACTGTCCATAACTCCGGCCTACTTTTGAGAAAGCCCTCAAAACTGGCAGGCATAAGCACTTGAGCCTTCAATTTGCGGCGATGCAGATATGCGTTTGCAGCAACGCTGATGGTACATCTTCTTTCAGGGTTTCGAGTGCACTGCTTGGTCGTTCGACAGGGGGGGGAAATAAGATACTGCAGCAGCTGTAGCATGCGCTGGCTCGAGAGCAGGAAGACTAGAGCTGACCTTGACAACTGAAGCGACAGCAGCTCGCTGCTGTCAAATGCTTTTGAGGCAGAGAAAGTCTCAGGCCAACACACACCATTCAACTGCACAGGCCTCGCTTTCCGCGGTCCATTTTAGCGTTTGCTGCATGTTGTACCACCTTTTTCGGGTTGCAAATCCCAAGTCTCTTCTCAATGCTCGGTGCCACTTCGTGAAAGGCCTTGCCAACTATGAAAAATGTGAGAAGAGGACGAGGCACTGTAGCGTCATAATTGTCACGATGAGGACCATCAGCCCAACCCAAATTACCAGGACCGAATCAGATTCAAAGCCTTGCAACAGTGCGCCAGGCCAACCATTTGCATCAAGTCAGTACGCGGGACAGGAGAAGACCAAACCAGCAAGCAAACAGTCAGGCAGGTCCTCTAAGCGCAGGGAAACAGCCACCAGGAATCTCAAAATTGTGTTCTTCAGTTACTCATGACAAGATGTGTAAATAACCTGGCAAAGCCATGGCCGCGAAACGTGTTTGGGCGGCATCGACAGGCGTTGCTGTCATGCTTCTCGCCGGCTCGGCTCCGCATCATGCGTGCGAGCAGTTGCTGTAGAGCTCGAAGCCCAAGCGCACATGGTTTTGAACTTTTGAACCTTGAGGAAGCATTCTCAAATGCTGTTGGCCTCAGGCTTTGGTTCCCGGAGCTCTGTGTCTGATGGAGGCACCTCAACATGTCAGGGAGCTGCTTCTTTCTGTCTCGTTGATTGGAAGCCGCCTGGCTCTCATCGTGAGCTGCGCCGTGTGCTGCACTTTGAGCTGCGTGAGCTCGACAGAGCTTGGCGTGCTCGGCCAAATCTTCCGCAGTCTTGCTCCGCCTAGGAGATGGGAGATTTATTCATTGGCACTGCTATGCACTGCTACAGACTGAGCTGAATGAACTGTTTACATGCAACATGTCAAAGGTTTAGTGCAAACAGTTGTGACTAAAATTTGCAGAATCATTACGTTCTAGGGTTGAATCTGTTGAATCTGTGAAGCCTCTTGCTGAACACACTGGGAGGCGTGCACTTGGGCCAATTCCTCCATGCCACGTGCTTCCTGCTCCTCTGCCTCCTGCTTCGGGGATGAAATGCCAGACAGGATCAGACGAAAGACTCGAGGGTGTGCCTGCAACTCAGCTTTCAGCAGCGCAACCATGCCTGGCTGCCTGCATCAGGAAATCTGGCAGAATCTTTGCCAGCATTCCTCTTCTCATCAGCCATTAGAGCTTTCGAAGCAGCTGAGAACCAGGCTCTTGCGCACGCCTTCTTGCAATTGCAGCTTGGGCCTGCCAGGGGTACCAGCACCAACGGAGAAAAGGCGGGCTTGCAAGTAGGAACTGGAAGTACTGGCAGTGCTCCACAGGGTCAATTTGGTGCACAGCCTCGCCCAACTCAGACGCGATTTCTCGTGCACGACTCCAGGCAGCATCGCAAGAGCTTTTCAAGTCCTGCCAAACATTGAAAGGAGGCCGTTTGTCCACTATCATGGGAAAGATTTCTAATTGCGCTCAGACCAAGCTTGTCTCTCGGCACGCTGCAACACCTTCAAGGCTATCATGTGCATCCTTGTACTCGTTGGCAGCCCGAGCACTGCTCAATGACCTTTCGCGGGGCTTCGGTCTGCCAAACTAGAGTGCAACGGTGCTCAGGCCTACAGGCAAGAACTTGGCCCAGCTGTTCGCGGAGTTCCTCAACATGATTTGACATAATTTGCTGCAGGTGCTATAGAGGTTCAGCAGAATCTACCGTGCGATCGGCGCACCTGTTCGCGTCGACGGCCTGCAGTATCTTGCGTGGACGAAACATTTACATCGAAATGCCATGGCCTGCTGCTACCCGTCTCTCAATCGCCTGCTGTCTAACATGACAAGCTCATGCTCTCCACTCTCTATACATGTCCAAAAGTGTGGGGACAGAAACAGCTCCTGAAGGGCAGCAGACATCTCCAACTTTCGGTCCTGCACACAAAATGGCACAGGTCCGTAGAACCTCGCTCTTCACCCGGGTTTGCGCGGCAGGCTTCTGTTGTTGTGAGGGCCAAGTACGTGGGAAATGTCTAGAATTCAAGATCTTATTAAGCGGAAGGAAAGTGGAAACCAAACTGGACCCCAAATCCTGACCTTTTAGAAGGGGATAGGAAAATGTACAGAGTTGGAAGTGGGCAAACAGCTGTAGAACAAAAAGGCTAAATACCATAAATTGAAAACATCGAGACACATGACAACTTTGCAGCTTTTTTGGTTTTCCCAGCTGTTCTTATCGCTGATCTGTTGTCGTACTTCTTAGTTGCTTGTCGGAGTTCCCTTTGCCAAAATGGCTGGGGTTGGTTCAGAGTTGTTCTTTCTTGTTGACAAGGAGCACTCTCATGAGCTGCGCATGCTGTGGACGTCAACTTACTCATGAGTGTCCTCTGAAAGTCTTGTTGCATCATTTCGCGGCGGCGTCCTCGAGTCCTCGGCCCCTATGCATGTAGCGCTGTCTACAACTACACCCACACACACACAAGATCATAGCTTGGAATCTAAGGCCGCAGCAGCCGACCTCATCACCGACACGTGCTCCGGCTTGCAGTGCAGCCATAAGCTCAGGGCAGCACCTTTCTCTCAAAAGACGTCGCTGCATTGCATGCAGCTCGCTTTCTCGAGAGGCCTTAGAATTGTGAGATTATGCTAGCAGTGTGCCCCCTTTCAGCTGAGCAGATTCCTGATGGCTAAGCACATCTCGGACGGATGCCAAAGAAATTTCAGAAAGCCTGAGAATTGGGCAACATGCTGTTGCAAGGAGTCCAGCGACGCCTTCACATGGCAAGCATCAGAAACTGAAATTTGCCAGAGCATGCTACAATATGCTGACG